AGACTCACTTGGCGTGATTACTAAAAATGCAAATTCCATCCCAAACCTTCTGAAGTAGAATTTCAAGGGGGTGCAACCAAAAGTCTTCATTGTGAACAAGCTCCTCGGGGAATTCTGAAGCACTCGAAAGTATCCCTCAAAGATATCCACTTTCTGTTCAGCCTGAGATTGAACTAGATGGTTTGATCACCTAAATAATCCCTTGGTGTCTCCCAGAATTTTCTAGACTGACCCAATCTTGGCCATTTTCCCCAGAGATACTGCCTATTGTGATGGAATCGTTCATTTAAAAAATATCTGAACCTTTATTTTGCAAGTCCCTGCCCTCAAAATGTTTGTAACCTGGCAGGATGTTGAAGACTGGGAGTTCGGAGTCAGGGTTAGGACAAAATTAACACTCAGGCTTCCAAAAGTAAAAGAACAGAGCCAGTGAGCGTTAGTCTCCCTCCTTCCAGTGTAATGTTGGACTTCCCCTGGGATCCCCAAGGTTGAGCTCCTGTCCTTGATTTGGCCACTGATCTCAGCACTGACCTTGGAAAAATCACTGAATCTTTCCACAGTTTCCCCCTGCACAATGTGTGCTTTCTCCATCCTCCTGAAATATCTTCCAGAAGAGCTGTTTAGTTTATCACAAGGAAAGTTGTGTTATGGTAACCATATGTTATGCAACCAGATGTAATCTACGAAACAGCGATAGCTGAGATTACAGATCAGCAGTGGGGATTACATCTCGTGGCTGAATGGGAACAGAAAAGGCTGTCTAGCCTGGCCCTTCGTGTTGAGAACTGGAAGGAGTATTCTGGCTGTGAATTTTCTGGCTAAGGTACCAAAGTCTCTGCAAAGAGACACGCAGAGGGCCCATCTCTCCACTCAGAAGCCAGGGAGAAGGGAAGAACTGCTACCTAGCCCAGCCCAGCCTCATCACCTGCTCTTGGCCGGGGATTCTTCAAATCACACTTCACGTTACATTCACCACCTCATCTTGGACTGTTCCACCACCTGGAGACTTGCTACAAGTTTTCTGTTGCTACAAAGCGAATCACCACGGAGGTGGAAGCTTCAAACAGCACACACTTATTCCCCCACAGTTTCCATGGGGCAGGCATCCAGGCACAGTACAGGAGGGTTTTCTGCACGTTGTCTACAAAGCTGACATCACCGTGTCAGCTGGTCTGTGTTATCATCTGGCGGATTGACTAGGGAAGAACCTGCTTTTAAGCTGTCTGAGGTTGCTGGCTGAATTCATTCTTTGCAACTATGAAATGTATGGTACCTTCTTCAAATCCAGCAACAGTGAGGGTCTCTTTTTATTTTGTATCATTTATACAAATCAATAAGAAATTCTAAAACTGTAAAAGATAAATGAACTTCATGCTTGTTAGAATAGCTATCATTTTAAAAACAGAAAATAAGTGTTGGCAAGGATGTGGAGAAATTGGAATCTGTGCACTGTTGGTGGGAATGTAAAATATTGCAGCCACTATGAAAAACAATAAGGTGGCTCCTCAAAATATTAAAAATAGAATTACCATATGATCCAGCAATTCCACTTCTGGACATATCCCCCCAAAAAATTTGAAAGAAGGGATTTAGAAAGATATCTGTACTCTCATGTTCACAGCAGCATTATTCACAATAGTCAAAAGGTAGAAAAGACTCCTGTCCACCAGTGGATTAATGGATCAACAAAATGTGCTCTGTACACACCATGGGATATTTGCCAACCTTAAAAGGAAGGAAATTCTGACCTGTGCTACAACATGGGCCTTCAAAATATTAGCTAAGTGAAATACGCCATTCACAAAGGAAAAATATTTTAAGATTCTACTTGTACGAGGTCCATAGAGTAGTCAACTTTATAGAGTCAGAAAGTAGAATGGTGGTTTCCCAGGGTTGCGGGAGGGGGAAATGGGAGTTGCTGTTTAATGGGTACTTTCAGTTTTGCAAGATGAGACAGTTCTGGAGATAGATGGGGGTGATGGTTGCAGAATAATGTCAATGCACGAAGGCCATACAGCCATGCATTTAAAAATGGTTAAAATGGCACATTTTATGGCATATATTTACTACAATTAAAGTATTAAAAAGAAAAGATAAACAGACAAAAGAGATGAACATGTAGATCCCAAAGCAGAAAGTCTAACTAGCAAGTAGGCTTGGGGAAAGACGCTCAGCTGTGCTGGGAACCAAAGAAATGAAAATTTAGTAATAATAACATGATAGTGCCTTTTAGTGGAGTGGGATAATTAACGTTATGTGTCTAACACACAGTCTGGCATATAATTATACTCTAAACAAATTTCACTTCTCTACTTCTTTCTCTCCTCCTAGAACAGAGGTAAAATCTTCACTTACCATTTTTATTCTGTTTCACATAGGGCAGATTTCAAACAATTCCTGAGACTATTTGAATATACTAGTTGAATCTTTTTTAAAGTAAAACCTTTTCCTCAACCCCAAGTTTAGGTTCCAATATGAGGAGGTATAATGAGAATTATATTAAACACAATTCTGAAATGTTTAATGTATCAAAAAAAGTGTTTGTCTGCAAGATTAATTAGAGGATTTCCACCAATATATCCTAGAGTTTAGAGTCACAGGTATAGTAAATTCTGAGTCAATACTATTTATGTGTCCTAAACTAATGCAAGTTGAGCATCCTAACCCCAAAATTCAAAATCCAAAATGCCCCCAAGTCTGAAACTTTTTAAGCATCAACGTGAAGCCACAAGTGGAAAATTCCACACCTGACCTCTCGTGACAGCATCATAGTCAAAGTACAGTAAAAACTTTGTGTCATGCACAAAATTTTAAAGAATATTGTGTAAAATTGCCTTCAGTCTATGTATATAAGGTATATATGAAACATAAATGAATTTCGTGTTTGGACTTGGTTCCTATCCCCAAGATATCTCATTATGTATATGCAAATATTCAAAAATGCAAAATATACCCCAAATCCAAACTCACCTGGTCCCCAGCATTTTGGAAAATGGGTCCTCAGCCCACATTTTTAGAATATAACAGATCTTCTTCACAGTGTTTTTGTTTGTTTGTTTTTGGTTTGGTTTTTTTTTTTGAGTTGGAGTCTGTCACCCAGGCTGGAGTGCAGTGGCACACTCACGGCCACCCAGCATTGACCTGCTGGACTCCAGCGATCCTTCTGCCTCAGCCTTCCAAGTAGCCGGAACTATAGGCATCCGCTACCACACCAGGCTAATTTTTTTTTTTTTGCTTTTATTGTAAAAACGAGGTCTTGCCAAGTTACCTGGGCTGGTCTCAAACCCACAGGCTCAGGCAATCCACTTACTTCGGCCTCCCAAAGTGCTGGGATTACAGGCTGAGCCACCAAGCCCAGTCACAGTCTTGTTTCTAATAAGCCATGTAGCCACATACCTGCCTTGTCGCTTTATCATCTCATAGTTCTCATGGGTCATTATGGTTTTTGGCAATTTATTGAAAGCAATTAGAGTAAATCTTTTTGATGGTAATGAAATGTAGCTAACAATACATTTATTATTATTTGGTCAAACACTATGAGCCAGATATTACATGTTCCTATTATTTCATTTTAACCCTCACATCCTTTGGAGACAAGTTGTATTATTCCCCTTTTACGGGTGAGAAAGTTTATAGCTTAGAATTCTAATAACTTACTCTAAATCACACACTGGTAGAATTCAAACCCATGTCTGCCCAAATCCAAGCCTCAGATCATCCCAATATGGTGCCCTGCATCCAGGAATATTAACTATTTCGTTGGGGAAAAGTGACTTATAAGAATAAATATTCAAACATGTGACTTTGTAGAAATTGCCTGTTAATGATCATAGCTCCTAAAATTCCATATTCATTTGGGAGCATGTTTTCCAAGTCAAAGTTACTTAGGTCCTGAAAACAAGCTGTTGGATGTTCAGAACAGAGTGCTTCCTATTCTGTGTTAAAAGGGCAGATCTGTTTCTTGATAAGATGTCCTGTTTGAAGACTGTCTGTTTTTTGTGATCCAGGTGCAAACAACAGGAAAACATTTTCTTCCTATCTTGGCAAAAGGAGAGGTATTTGTAAAGAAGAATACTTAATGTAGTGATTTAAATGGCCTTTTTTTTTTTTTTTCATTGTGAATTGGAAGAAAACAGATTATAGTACCAGATTCAAAGAAGTAACAATGGCCTACTGACTTAGACAGAAAAGCCAGCCAGGGAGTTTCCCCAAGACTCAGCGCCATGAGACAGGTCTTCAGTGACACTGGGTACTCTTCCCTGTTCAAGAACATGAAAAAATGCAAAACTGTGGATTATCTGAGAGACACCTAGGCAAATGCCAGCTCTGAAAACAAACCACAATGCAATGCCTTATACCCATGTCTTTAAAAGATCAGCTACCAAAAGAGAAACAAAAGCCAAAACTTGTCTTTGTAATTCTTAGACAAGTCAACAAACAATAATTTGCATGTAATAAACTTTTTAGGTGATTGTGAAATATAAAGAAAATATTTTTTAAATATTCTATTTTCCTTAAAGAAGTTCAGTTCTGAATTGATTGATTGATTGATTGTGTGAGTCTCACTCTGCCCAGGCTGGAGTGCAGTGACAACATCACAGCTCACCACAGCCTCAACCTCCTGGGCTCAGGTGTTCCTCTCACCTCAGCCTCTCGAGTAGTTGGGACTACAGGTGTGCACCGCCACACTCAGCTATTTTTTATTTTTTGTATAGACAAGGCTTTGCTATGTTGCCCGCACTTGTCTTGAACTCCTGGGCTCAGGCAATCCTCCTGCCTCAGCCTCCCAAAATGCTGGTATTATAGGAGGAGCCACTATACCCAGTCTCAGTGCTGAATTTTTAAACTTAAAATTTTTTCCAGTTTTTCCAAAAAGTGTGAAAATTGGCAACAAATAAAATCGAATGTGAAAGACAAGCACACGCATACATGTACACATGTGCACACATACTGCTCTTTCCCATAACCCACTCTAACCCATGTGCTGCTTTTGTCCATAGAGCCCACACTTGCTTCAACCGCCTGGACCTTCCCCCATACCCGTCCTTTTCCATGCTTTATGAGAAGCTCTTGACAGCCGTGGAAGAGACCAGCACATTTGGCCTCGAGTGACCTGAAGGCACAACACCCAGCTCTGCATGGACAGGTGATTCCAGAACTGCCTTCTAGAAGGACAATGGATCATTGGTGGTTTCAGAAGTGCACTGCCTGGAGGGTAAAGCTGAGAGCTGCTGTTTCCAGGAACACCAGCACTGTCACTTTGGACACAGGGGAGTTTGAGGTCCAGGGAGCAACCCAGCAGTCTTGCAATCATAGTTCTTACCTGCCAACCTTTTTCCATGTGTTATGTTCCAAGACAAAGATGAACCACATGTGAGCGGGTCCAGGGTCATTCTAGGCCCTTGGGAGAGCCTCAAGCTCACTCTTGATTGTGACTGAAGCCAAACTGGCAGCCTTGGCCACACTCCAAATTAGTGCAAGTTAAAGAATATAGTAAAACAAATCTATGTCCTGAAAGTACATCCATGTGAGCCCCAAGTTATAACAGAATATCCACTTCCTGCTCATGCGTGCCTGCATGTGTGCACCATAGGTTTCAGCTCTTACGGGAAACGGGGCAAATGAAACCACGTCCACCAAGATAGCTTCACAGACTTGCAACAGGGTGACTGTGACAATGTATATGCAAGTGTTATGTGTGTCACTACGGCTGAAGACAAACCGTTGCTCAATGAATTACTGATGACAGATCTTATGCTTTATAATGCATGAAAACAATTTTAAAATAACTAGCAATTAATCACAGCATATCAGGAAAAAGTACACCGTGAGTTCTGTTTATTTTATGTAGGTTCATGCTATTTACATTCTTTAAGATGTATATAAGGGCCTACCTGTCACACCGTCTGTGTCACTCATCCCATTTCCATGGCCCGTGCTTATGCGGGTGTCATGTTAATGTGTGTCCTTTTAAGCACTCTCAAGGGAACTAAACAACCTTTTATTTTTATAAAGGTAAGAAAAAATTCCCCGAAATATTTTGCTTTGAATGTACCAAAGGTGAAGGGACATGACAATATGACCAACAGCAGTGCCATCACTTGACACGTACAGTAGAAAATCGCCTCTAAATCGGCATCCCTCACAGGGCCGTGGCCACGCTGCAAGGACTGTGCATCTGAGTAATAACTTTCTAAGATTCACTATATGTGATAGTATGATATGCATTTATTTAAAATGCATTAGACTCTCTTCCATCCATCAGATACTTTACCGGATGGCATTTAATACAGATCTTTCGTATTCCCCCCGGGTTTTTATTTGTACAGCGTCATCCAACACTATGCTCAGTTAGGAGAGATCAGTTGTAAGAATTCCACATTCCCTCAGCAGCGAAGACATCAGGGTGGAAACTCGCAGTACTATATTTCTAAGCCTGCATTTTCACTGATGCATAATTTTCTTATTAATATTAAGAAACAATTTTTCTATGGTATCTCCAAAACGGCATGACTCACCTTATTTCTGCGTAACTTTGTGAGAGGGTGTCCTTCATCTCAATTGCTGTTGGGATTACTCCATGTCATTGCTAATTTCTCCACTTAAGGCCATAACTCATCAGAGGTTCAACAGAGTGATGTTAAATTGGGACAGAGAAAAGCTTGGCAGGTGGTTTGCCAGCCTGTGGGGTTTATGGGCATTGCCCAAACATTTCTTTGAGAATTACATATATAAGCAGCCATGGAATTCCTTCATGACACGCTGGCAATCTTACATCTCTTAGAGGTCACCCTCATAACTCTCACAGGTGGTTTTGTAAGAGGTGATTGCTCTCCATTAGCTAAGCTGTGTTTATGGTTGAGATCTTCGAGAAGAACACCATTAGGCTGCACCCCTGCGCTAATGGTACCATGGGTGGGGATACGTTTTTTAAAAAGTCTGTAGAAACAAGAAAGGAAGATGTATTTGTGTTACTATAATTGGACCAGACAAAAACAGAAGAGAAAAATATTTTAACTGGAAATGTTAGTTTGTACTTATGGATTATGAATACAAGTATATATTTTATTTTGCAAACTGTTTTCACTTGTTTGTGTTCTTTTCATTATAAGGAAAAATAGTATAACACACTTTAAAAAAAAGAATCGCATTTTTGATGGTATGTAAGAGGTTACAGAGCTGGCATTCTCTAAGCAGCAGATACAGAGGGCTGCATTTCTTTCAAAAAATACATTCATAGACCATGTTAGCTTTCATTTTGGTTTGAGATACTTTGTTACATTATTCCATATTCTTAGTTAAAAGAGAATTGAAATAAAAATATATCTCTTTAATTATTTCTAGCAAATATATTTTTTTGTTAAGGTACCCAACTTCTTTCTAAATGACAGTTTACTTTAATGTATGCAAACATTCTTAACTAGTATAATTGTCTAGTTGATACTGTTCTCAGAATTGGAAATTATCAAGGATGTACTTAACATATCAGAACTCCATAATAACTTATCTATTATTCTTCATTAGTAAAACAAAAGATAGTTAATAATAACTATACAAAATATTAAATAACATTTCCACAAGACAAAGTAGACTTTGATAAACTTTACAATGAGAAATAACCATAAGCATGTTCTTCTGAGCTGTGAGTTCAGAGAATGAGCCTTCATGGTCTTGTTTTCTTTAAGAAATCCATCAACGATGTTCCTCCTTACAGAAGACAGTCAGTCACATCATCTGTACACAGAACCTCTCCGATGAGAGATAGGCATGCCATTGGCTTGCACTCCCTGTCAGCCAAGTATTTGATGATGGAGTTACAAGATTCAAAATCTGTCCTTGAAAAGCTCACAGTCTAGAAAAGTGGACCCTAAGGTGCAGAAAAGTATTTTAAATCAAATTTGGTAAGTTCTACAATCAAGGAATGAGGAAAGAACAGCTTACTCCATCTGGGAGATTCAATGGCGGTTTCATAGATGGTAGATAATGTAGTTAAAAACATCACATGCACACTGTTTCTGCTGGTTACTAAGGCCATGTGAGAGTGTGTCCATGCTGGTTATGTGTTGAATCTTGGATGCTCTTATGCAACCAAGGTTTAAAGTGTGTCACTATGGATCCGAACTCTCCAGATTATCCAAGAAATGCCAAATTCAACCGGGCAGTTTCCCTCTGTTTCCTTTCATGTGTACAACAGGGTACTTTCATTTTTCAGTGTAAAAAATCCCAGTCCCTGCACCCAAACCACTTCTGTGGTCAAAACATTTTTCTTGTGCACAAAATGAAAGGATCTTGGTTAAAGAAGTGTAGCCATGATTTTCTAGTTTATGCTGTGCTATTTATTTAGTAGAAGTTCTGCAATAAATAAAGGAAATCTGTCTCACATGCATAGCAATCAGAAATGGTAAGAAGTCATCCAAATGAATGATGGTAACGTAGAGTGTGTTTGCACAGCTCTTGCAGGCACACCTGTCTTGATCCTCACAGACTTTGTCGGGTACAAGTATTAAGTTACATCTGGGATGAGCCTGATTTTTATTGATGGATTGTGGGATCGGTTTCAGTGCAGCATAGTCACAACCTTGTGCTTCATCTTGAAAAACGTGGAGACTAATGTTTGTACCCAGGTAGTCGACTTTCAGCGAGATTTACATGACGCTTCCTCCACCCAAACTCTCACTTCCTTAAATAAGCACACTTAAAATGTGACATCTGAAAAGTCCATGAAGAAATTAGTATCTTCATGGAAAAACTCCCCACAGATTTAATATCTGCATTTTACTACTTGTCATGAGAAATTAAAAACAGAAGGCAAAATTGGATTACTTTGGACAATTTATATAGTTTGGTAGTTTAGTTTTCCCAAATATTATTTGGATGCAAGATAGTGGAAAACGCTAATCAGAAGCCTTATTTTATTTTTTTAATTTTTGCTAGGGCTGGATCTAGTAAGTCCTGACAGCTGGATTCCAGTGATCTCCATTAAGGGGCCAAGTCAGCCTCTCTTTACCCACCTATCTTACTCACAATCATCCAACATTTTTTCTAACTATAAACTTTATTTGTGACTTGTGACTCCTAACAAGGCAGACATCTTATAATGAATAGTCTAGAAATCTATTCAGTTTCACCTTATACAGGAAGATCCAGGGACTGGTGAGAAGGTGTGTGTGACCCTGTGTCATAGACATGCTCACAGGAAGAACAAGGTCCAGTCTCCAGACCTGGGCTGTGGTTCAGGGCCTCTGGCTGGGTTTTGGCTGCTTTCTGGCTTAGTGGATGAGGGGCAACATGCTACACTGGAGCCATCTTACTTCCATGAGACTCGTGTTTAAAGGAATAGGAACATCACTTTTAGATTCTAACTTTGCAAAACTGATACCCTTTCCAGTTCATTTGTGTTTTCCAGATGAATGTGTTTGGCATGAAAGCAAAGGAATACCAGACAGGAAAACTTTCTGAATTGTGGCTTGAGGCCAACAGTTGCCCACTGAAAGGGCGATAAAATTAAAAAGTGGAGAAGAGGAGCCTGGCAGTGGTGCCACCCCCAGGAATGTAATGTTGGTCACTGACCAGCTGTCAAGCCTCAATGGAACTGCATCCCAAGGAGCTGGTACCAAGGACCCAGTGTGGGCTGCCCTCATCAGAGCCAAAGGGGCCGAAGGGGGCAGAGGGACAGTCAGGACAGGCACGTGGCAGAGGAACTGTTAACACATGGCGTAAGGTTCATGATGGGGCATGATGGTGGGGCCAGAACCCTACGTCAGTGTGGTTTCTGGATGAAGAGAAGAATGTCACGCTGCCTGATGAAGGCACAGTCTGGTAATAGACTTGGTGGGAAACACCCTCATCTTATAACTTGACATTTCCTGTATTGCACAATGGAATTTAGCCCCAAAGTATTCTTTTTTTTTTTTGAGTTGGAGTCTCACTCTGTCGCCCAGACTGGAGTGCAGTGTCCGCTCCCGGCCACCGCAGCCTCGACCTGCTGGGCTCCGGCGATCCTTCCACCTCAGCCTTCCAAGTAGCTGGAACTACAGGCGCACGCTACCATGCCCAGCTAGACCCAAAGTATTCAAGCTAACCATAGCTCCATCAGAAAATCCAACCATTTAGCATTCATTTATGTTGCAGGTTTTTTTTAAAGTAAGAATAATGTTACTATTATTGAACACGCTTGTATGAAGTAACAGAAAGGGTATTTTTATTTCCTCATACTTCATTTGATTTTTAGTAGACATTCTTTGACATTAGCATAGCTTTGGAGATACATTCATGGTTGCTAATGATAACTTAAATGTCCTCTGTTAATCTAGAAAGGAGAATCCTAAACGTAAATTGCAAATCCTAAACTGAATTGCAAATGGAGACTGAATGAGTGTTTCCAGTTCAAGAAGTTGATCACAACTAGGAAAATGTTTGCTGAGGTTTTTATCTGCACAGTGATTTATTTGGCACTGGTGGTAGAACAGCTCTGCAGAGTAGGATGGCCTAATCATGTGGTGTCCGGTGGCCTTGGGCAGCTGATGTCTTTCTATTCAACTTTTTTTGGAGATGTTACAGCCCCAAAGAGTGTTGATAGGCGCGTTGTGAGTCCAACTGAATTAGCTATGGCTAATGCAGGTGAGCATTGGACCATCAGTAGCTTCCAGTTACTGTCACCTTCTGTGAAATAGAGTGAATGGTGTTCAAGAAACACCTTAGTAGGATTCACCAGGAATTAACACAGAACCGAATATTCTTCTAGGACCCTAATGCTCTAAAAGGTGTAATTACAACCTGTTTTGCTTTGTATGATAGCATAAGTAGAATCTGGGGCTGCTAATGTGTTGGCAAGGGCTTCTGATTACAAGTTTCTGTAATGGAGATGCAGGCATTCCAAAACAAATGAATGAAGATACTTGCATCTCTCTCGCCTCTTACTGAAAGTATTAATCTAATTTTATAATAATAATTACTTTTTAATGTGAAGGCTCTGTAAAAAAGATTATTTCTGAGATTTCAGTAGAGCACAGGTGGTGTATTTTTTTAAGACTCCTCGTTTCTTCTCACAGCCCCACTCACTCTGCCTGCCATGCCACCCAGCACAGTGAATGGGGATGTTTCTAGTTTGGGGTTGATTTAAGCTTCATGTTCATCCAGTGTGACTTTTTATAGAGAATAATAATGGGAGATACTTGCTGTTAGCATTAAGATGATATGGCTTTCATTTTATCTTATGTTTAAATTTTTTTTTTCAAAGCAAATAATGCAGATTGTTGATATCCTAGAAATGGCTTTGAGTGGTATGATATGGAGCCTAGGATTATGAGCTGAGACTCATTTGTTTTCTGGGTAATCCATATTCTTATCCTCAACCGAACCCCTGACTCTTCTGTTATATTTTTTATGATTCTGAAATGCTTTGAGGGAAAGATATTTTAATGTATATAATTTGTTTTATTTTCATACTGATCTCTATTTTTGTTTAAAACCATGTTGCATCATGAAATCACTTACTCCAGAATAAATCTTCTTTAAAAAAAAAATGTGATGACTTCTCTGCCGTACTTTCGGGGAGGGAAAACTCAGGAGGGAGGAGACAGAGGTGGAGATGAAGTCCCAGGGTCTCAGCAGGCAGCTCTGCAGGTATGGAAGGGTCCACTTCATGGTGTTGGTCATACTTATTTTGTTTGTTTATTTTATGGATTTTCCATGTTTATTGTTTCTTTAGACAGTGTTTATTTATTTTATTTGAAATCTATTTTACTTATCTCTAAAAACATCATTTACCATTTGATTTGCCATTAATTGTATAGGAATGAATGAACACAAATCATAATCTCTCAATTCACATGGGTTGAGACTATTTGTTGAGTCGTTTGGTTGAAGGGTTAATTCACAAACATGTATGCACACCACCACCACCACCACTCATATCAGTTTAATCTAGGGGTCGCATATTCATATGCCTACAGGGACCAGGTGGGTATTTAGGGAGTGAACCTGGCTAGGTGTAAGGTGCAGAGAGCAGGGGGTTAACCCATGGGGGAGTTCAACATTCAGCTCTAGCAGATCCTCGGTACATGAAATTCAGGTCCAATGTTAAAAGAGCCTCTATTTTGTCCAGAGAGACCCAGAAGTCCACATTTTGGTGTAATATTCCCAGATCTCTTTCGTACTGGGTGGATCAAACCAAATATATCTACAGATTGAACTTGCCTTGCAGATCAACTGCTTGGAACCCTTGCTTTGATTGCTCACATTATCTTTTATACTTGATTGACAGGTAGTAGAAATCGACCAGATAAGGCTGGGCACAGTAGCCTACAGCTGTAATCGCAGCACTTGGGTAGGCCAA